GGCAAGGAAGGAAAGGCAGCAAAATATGTGTATTTAGCTTCAGTATACTCATCCCTGATCTTAGAAATAAACAGAGTGGACCAGCGACTATCTTTTTCAATAAAGGTAAGCGATGACCATTCCTTTCCTAATGAATTCTATACAAACCCATGTGCAGCAATTTAAGCATCCAAGAGTTGCTGGCCAGCATTATTCCTTCAGAAACTAAGCCAGGTCCTCTGGCTTAGCCTGGTTGGCTGGTGGCAGTGGGCTGACAGATGTGGAGATTGCTAAGCAGATGTGTGGATTGTGCTAAGCAGAAATCCTACCCCACAAAGGAAAAGGGAGACTCTCACTTGAAAGTGTTGCAAAATCCTTTGAGAGTCATAAGTGCAAGCTCAAAATAGTGTTTTCTGTGCTTCTGTTTTTCTGTACATACCTGCATTTACATCTTCTTCTCACTGAAAAAGAAATTAATGAGGGCTCAAACTCTGTGGGATTCAACCTAAGATTCAGCCTGAATCCATTTCTAATGACCAATGTTTCTTACAGTATGGAAAGCAGATTTTCACCTGCTTATATGAGGTTTGTCCCTGAACTTTCTGCTGGTGATTGAGACCACATAAGACACAATACCACTTTCCAAAGCACACATAAAATCCATTGGAGAAATGCAGCTTTGTGAATGCAACAGTGTAAACCAGGATTTTCAACCCAAGCATGTTCTAGAAAAAGTATAACAGTTGTTTTCATGAGTTTATGCAGTCCCATGTACCCTAACTGTGCGAGTAAAATAGATTTTACAGACATATAGGCTGTTTTCTGGACTGTAGTTGCATGAGGGACAGAGCAGCCAAGCAAAAGGGAGTGATGGCACCCTGGGTGCTCCATCAAGAAGCACAGTCAAGGTCCTCATGAGAAACACAATGTGTGATGGAGAAACAAGACTGTGAAGGATGAGACTGAAATTCTAAATGGTGTCTGACCCTCTCTGAGGTTTATGTCATCAGTAAGTTTTGCAATACAGCATGTTTTCAGGTAGACACCTGTCCAAATCTGAAGGATCAACCAGAGAGTATTGTTAGTAAAAACCTAGTAATTGGTGTCACCAGGTGACTAGGCTGAGTTAACCAAGTCAGGAAAATTATAAACTTGAAGAGATTCCTAAATGTATTGCTTAGCGTTTAAAACATCTTTTCACACCAGCTGCATAGAAATCTCTGAAATGCCAGCGCTGGTTAGCTCACCATCTGTGTTATCCCTCCGTCTCTTCTCCTCTTTCAGCCTTTATTTTGAGGCTTCTTTATGTTGCCAGAAGAAAAATGACTCTTCAATATTCTTGGCGTGTTATTGGAAAGATAAATTTTGAAGTGAAATTTTTGTTGGTTCCAACTCTTGCTATATAAAGCACATTTGATAATACTTAACATTTACTCAGCCTACTTATTAATCATTAAAAAATACCAACTATCAAAATAATCCATAGTTAACTGAAATTAAGTAATCACATACAAAATTACACCACAATATTGCTCAAATCTCAGAACAGATGGAGAAGTCAAGTAGAGAGTTTTTAAATAGTTTGTTTCAGTAACTTTTTAATTTTGTTGCTGCTTAATTTTCAGAAACTCACTAAGATAATTACTGACATATCCTACTCTGTGCTTAGGTATGCACTGCTGAAACATAGCTTTTTTTATTTATATTCATCTGTGAGATCTGCAGATCCACTCTCAGCTAGGAAGGCAAGATGAAAACATCTTGATGATAGTGCAGGAGGTCTGACCAGACTTCTCTCCCTGCTGCTCCTTTATGGTGCTGCAGTAACTGTAGTGGCTCTTAGGCATCAGCTTTATCTACTCTTTGATTCCTCCTTTTTTCCCACAACCAGTTAAAATTAAGAGCAATCCATATGGCTCACCTTTTGTTGGAATGACTGATGCAAGAAGCTGTACTAGGAAGATAAAAGGCCTTCAATGACGGCTCTGGAAATATAAACAGTTCCCAAGGAGGTGTAACCATTTTAATAAGCTTGGAGTTGGTCAATAACCCTGCCCATCAATACTTGGCAATGTGAGGGAGATGAGGAAGATGCACAGCACTGCTCGCTGAGCTCAGTAAGAACCCCACAAGGACTGTAAGAGTATCCTTTTCTTGAAAAGGTAAAAGTCGAGAGAAATGCAGGAACTAAAGAGCCAGAAGAACTCAGAAAACCTGACAACAAAGAGCAAAGTCAAGCTGGGCACACACATCTCCCTTTCAGAGACACACTACAGTGCTTGAGCAATTCTTTCACTGAGTGAATACCACAGGTAAGGGGTGTGAGATTAGACTGCTCATAGGTTGAAAACTCTTCCTATGTCTTACTCTCAGATCCTAACACTCTCACAAGGTTCCACCACACATGAAATGACTTCTGCCTCAGCAGCACGGGCTTTTAATGTTTTCAGTTAAGGAAAAAGTATTCAAGAACAGAGGGATTTAAAATGCCATATATCCATAATATAAAAAGCATAGACTGACTTCTGATATACATGCTATCATAACCAAGACCTGCAACAAACTTGTTTCCCAGAGGTAACAGGTTGGTCACAGATGTGACAAATTACTCACAACCAAGACTTTCCACATCACATTTCATTGGTGAAAAGTAGATTGATTGTATGTTTCTCTCTGTGCTTTATAGATGCCATAAAAATACTGCAGATCTTACAGCTTCATTGTGGAGCCCAGCTCATTCATGTTTGCAAACTTGACTTGCTAAATTTGAATGGCACCATTTTTAATCGATTTTGGAAAATGTTTTAAATAAGTTAGTCTGCCACAGGCATTTTAATGAATATTGAAATAAACCATCTGTTTGGGGCTAGATTGGAGGATTTCCTCTGTGCAAGTCCAAAATTTTATTTTACCTTGGATTTTTCCTTGCCTCCACTTGACTTGGTCTATAGCATGTGTTTCCACACTAGGATTCTTGTGTTCTCAGTCTTAATCCAAGTTTATGTTGGCTATACTTGGCTATACCCCTCTCTGCTTGGCAAAAGAAATATGGTAACTGCTGTGTTCTGAACTGTAGTAGGGGTACTTGACCAAGTGCTTGAGCTATGTAGACTTACAAGCCCTTCTTAAACCTGCTTGAAACTGCTTTTCCTGCAGTTACTAACGCTGTTGTAATGCCTGGGAAAACATACAGACACTGGGACACCACACAGGGCCTGCAGGCACAAGTTGCAGTGAAGGTAATTACTAAATAAAAAAAGAAAAATCTTTATAGTTGAGGGCAAGGCATGGGCACAGGTTTCCCAGAGAGGATGTAAAATCCCCTTCCGTGGGAATATTCAGACTTGACTGAACGAAACCCTGAGGAAAACCTTTGCATGGCTGCAGGTGGTGGGACCAGAGAGATGCCCCAGATCTGACCTCCACTGGTCCCTTTCAAATTAAGCAATTCTGAGATTTGTGCTTCAGAAATCCTGGGAACAACAGCTTCACTTTTTTACGGAGATACAGTGTCTGCAGCTTGTCTTAATAATAGCGTTTAGCAGGAGGACACAATGGTAATGGATGTAATGAATGCTGACACTCTAATTCCCTTTGAGTGTGCCCACCTTTTACCATGGCACATGGCACACTGCTTACTTTCTTCATTTGGACTGTTGAAGACAGTAAACACATTTTCTTCTAATGAATTTTTCAAAATTGTTTCTAAATGGTTTGCATGCTGTTCCCATAACCAAGAGGGTATTTTGTTTCCACATTCTTTTGATTGTCAGTGACAGAATGAACAGACCCTCCCAGATTGGAGCAGGGGCACCTTATCTTCTAGGAAAGCCACATTGCTACAAGGGGGGGAAGTACCCACTGCACACATTTGTTCAATACCAGTTCTGGTAGCAAGGGTCATGAGGCATTTATCCCTTGATCTCATCAATACATACAAATAGCTCAAAGGTAGTTGTCAAGAAGATGGTGCCAGGCTCTTTTGGTGTGCCCAGCAACAGGACAAGGAGCAGTGGCCATAAACTAAAACACAAGAAGTTCCACCTCAACATGAAGAACTTACTTACATTGAGGATGGCAGAGCACTGGAACAGGGTGCCCAAGGAGGCCGTGGAATTTCCCTCTCCGGAGACATTTAAAACCCACCTGGCCATGTTCCTATGTCACCTGCTCTAGGTGACCCTGCCTTGGCAGGGGGGTTGGACTAGATGATCTCTAGAGGCCCTTTCCAATCCGAAGGATTCTGTGATTCTGCTTCAATTATTCATGTGCTTTAGAGAGGATACACCCTGGCTGCTGGTTAATTGTGAGACACAAAAGAGGGGGACAAGAAGAGATCTGGTATCTTTTACACCCATGGGATTAGATCTTCTGTGGTTTGACCTTATCATTTGGGAGACCTTAGAAAACAGCGCAGATCCATCCTTTCGGTGGTGAACAGGCTGTTAACCCCAGGGTATACACTGTTCAGACAGCGTAACTGTGGAACAGGCTTTTTCACAGCTATTTCTAGCGCTACCCCGACACATTTCCCTCCGGCGGTGCACAGAGCTCCCGCTGGGCTCAGAGCCCTTCCAGCCAAGCGCTGCACGGACTGCACCCATCGCGGGAGAAGCGGCTACGGAGCGGGGGAAAAGCAGCCATGGGAGGAGCGGCTCCTCCCCCCGTGCCCCCGGGAGACCCTCCCTGCCCCGGAGCCGGGCGGGGAGAGCCGGCCAGCGATGACCCTACAGCCTCGGCATCACGGAGCGTCCCCAGCCTACCCTACGCCTGAGAGCCCCCCCTCTCGCCCCCGGCTCGCCTCTGACGTGTGCGCGGGGCGGGGGCTGCGCGGGGCGGGGCGCGGGGGGCGACCGGGCCGGCGGGAAACTTCTGCGGGTTCAGCACCACAGACGGGGCGGGCGCGGTGCCGCCGCCCGGCATGAGCGCCCCGCCGGCCCCACCGCCGCCCCGCCAGCCCTGCCGCCGTCGCCCCCGCGCTCCGCCTCGGCCCCCGCACAGCCCCAGCCGCCCGGGCGCCGATGGAGGCGGCGGCAGCGCTGAACGAGAGCGGAGCGGCAGCCCCCCGGCTGCCGGCCGGCGGCGGCAACGCCTCGCTGGAGCTCTCGTCGCGACCCCCCGCGCCCGCCGCCCTCAACCCCTGGGATGTGATGCTCTGCGTGTCCGGCACCGCCATCGCCTGCGAGAACGCCCTGGTGGTTGCCATCATCTGCTACTCGCCCGCCCTGCGCACCCCCATGTTCGTGCTGGTGGGCAGCCTGGCCACGGCTGACCTCCTGGCCGGTCTCGGCCTCATCCTCAACTTCGTTTTCCAGTACGTGATCCGCTCGGAGACGATCAGCCTGCTGACGGTGGGCTTCCTCGTGGCCTCCTTCGCCGCCTCCGTGAGTAGCTTGCTGGCTATCACGGTCGATCGCTACCTCTCCCTCTACAATGCCCTCACCTACTACTCGGAGAGGACGGTGCTCTGCATTCACACCATGCTGGCGGGTGCCTGGGGGGTCTCCCTCTGCCTGGGGCTGCTGCCCGTCCTGGGCTGGAACTGCCTCCACGACCGTGCCGCCTGCAGCGTCGTCAGACCCTTGACCAAGAGTAACGTGACGCTGCTGTCTGCCTCTTTCTTTCTCATTTTCCTCATCATGCTCCATCTCTACATCGAGATCTGCAAGATCGTCTGCAGGCATGCCCACCAGATAGCTCTCCAGCAGCACTTTCTGACTGCTTCCCACTATGTCGCCACCAAAAAAGGAGTCGCTACCCTGGCTATAATCCTCGGGACTTTCGGAGCCAGCTGGCTGCCTTTTGCCATCTACTGCGTGGTGGGGGATCCTGACTACCCTTCTGTGTACACGTATGCCACGCTTCTACCCGCTACCTACAATTCCATGATCAACCCCATCATTTATGCCTACAGAAACCAGGAAATCCAGAGGTCCATGTGGGTGCTCCTCTGCGGCTGCTTTCAGACTAAAGTGTCCTTTCGTTCCCGGTCCCCCAGCGATGTCTGAGTGACTTTTCTCTGCCGCACTGCACAGAGTGACAATCTCCCGAGTGGACTATTACAGTGCCTGTTCTAAACTTCAAACTACATTGTGAAATCATTGGAAACATGCTTAAGTATTTGCACTTTATACATATTTGTATCTCTGAGAGTGGTTCAGGGTGTGGAGTTTTGGGTTCCATCAAAATAATAACAATGTGGTTGTATATAAATCTGCACATCACATTTGTGAAGTGAAGACATTCTGGTACCGCTTAATTATAGCACCTTATTTCTAGCTGCTCACCTGCCAAAACAGTGTTGCCTTTCTGAAGGGCAGATAGAAAGAAAGTTGTGTTTGTGTTGTATTTATACGTGTGTGTGTCTGGGGGGGGAGACGGGGCTGGGAGTGTATGTATGTATGTGTGTATCGATACCTTGCTGCACAATATTGATAAATTATAACATTTTGTATACAAATAAAAATATGTAAAATGTGATATAACTTTGTGCTTTTAGATGCTTTTTAGACATAGGAGAGTTGGCAAATTTGCCTGTTGAACAAAGTCCCTTGAAAGCTCCCCATGTAATTCTGCCTAAAGAGATCATCATTCACTATAGAGATGAAATACTGCACCAACAAAGGCACCTTCTGCTTGCTTATTTGTTTGTTCTCTTCTTTAGTCTGGCAAAGAGTAACAAAGATAACAAACTCCTTTTTTTTTTTTTTTCTCCAGAAACCCAAGAAACAAAAAGCCTGGTCAAATAAGCTGCTCATTACAGTTATTCACCAGGTTTCCAGTAGCTTTTATTTTCACATTATAAGTTAGCCCTTTACAATCCACTGATCCATTTAAAAATTATCTAATTGTGGGGAAAAATCATTCTCTAGGCTGGGCTTTTTTCCCCCTGTTTTAATCTAACACTGGAAGAGAAAAAAAAAAAGAGGAAAAAGAAAAAAAAGGCACAGTCTTCTTTCCTAAAAGCCTGTAAAATGCCACAATAAATTGACTTTCTTTATCATCTGCAGTTCTGAGGGGAATCTGAATTGTTTCTCCCTCTCCTTTTTTTTTTGGACTGTGTGCCGTAGAAAAATCATTTAAGTGCATCTTTGCTTCCTGCCTGTCTTGGAGCAGTATACAGTTTTCTGATAATCCCAAGGCATAGTGGCTTCAAAGAGTCCATCAGAGGTCAATGTTATTCAGAGTTTGGAACACTCCTTCACTCAGCTTCAAATTCACCAGCAACTGATTTATTTAGAGCAATAACATTTGCAGCAGATTTTAGAAGCAGTGTTGCTACTTATTTATTTGCACAGTTATGCTACACTTGCATCCAGGTTATGTTATGGTTTATTGCTATCATTTCAATTTGTATTTAAGGACTGAAACAGATTACGTATATATGCATGGTACCATATAAAAAGCTTGGACTAATGTGCTTCCCAGCTTATGACTGGGCAGTGCATCCAGCATCTGCCTGCTGGAGTAGCTGGGACCACAAGGATCCAACAAGCCTCAGAGAGGCTGTGAATCAGTAATGCTGTGAATGCAAGTAATATGCAAACTAGTGTCATTTCACTGATAATACAAAGAGATTTAATTTAACAGAAAAATTGGTATTCAAGACTCTGCTAGTTCCACTGTTTTTGTCAATTCTAATAATCACAAATGTGACATCGTAAATGATTAATACTTTAAGGCATGCAGTTCATCAGGGAACTGTTGCAGTGATGTTACAAGTAGGTTTTATTATAGGTCAAAATGGTGCTCAAATTAAGAACTCTCTAGCTGCTTGTAAAAAAGACTTCCCCCCCCCTTTTTAAGCCCCCTTCTCAATTGCTACGTCTAAGGTAGTAAATAAAAGAGGGCAAGGCCTTCCCTCTAGCCCTGCAACTGGGTGGCACACAGTATGCTTAAGTTTCCTTCCCCTTGCAAAGCCAGGGACCAAGGCCAGGCTGGGGCATCCTGGCCCTGCTCTGATCACCTGCATAGACTCAGGCAAAGATGCTGCATCACCCACAATAGTAACTGCTGAGAGAAAAGACCACTGAGTGCCCCAGACAGGTGAAACCTTGCAAAACTTTCTGATAAAACTGAAAAACTTGCCATCTGCTAGGCCTTAGGATCATAAATCTTTGTAAATCCACAGGGGAGGATTGCCAGATGCAGGTCATCACTGACCCTGCACCCAGCTATGAGATGCTGAGTGGGACCTGAACAGGCTTCTGGGAGCCCTGTGCAGGCTCTGAAGACCAGCATTGGCTCTAAAATCCCCTAGGAGAAACTTCTTACACTTACTTTTAGTCCTTGAAGTTAGGCAGAATCTGCTACAGACCACACCTAATGCAACCTCCATCTTTTAACTCTTTCAGGCACTGAGCATTGGGGATTTTCACCATGGATTCGTTACGCAGTGACAACCTGTATAAAAATTAGATAAAGAAAACTTAGTTGAATAGAATCCTACTTCAGTAATAAAACACTTATTCGATGAATGGAAAGGACTTGAGCGAGTTCCTCTTCCAATTTTCTGTTACATGATCACATATTCAGTTTACCACTTTCCCCAATGATTTACTCTCTCTACAAAATAAAGCTGGATCCCTCCTGTTAAATATGTGATAATTTTAAAGTATTTCCCCAAGCATTCCTCTCTTCTAAGAAACAAACTTGTATTACAGTGATCTTCGCCATTCATTTTCCTAGGACAATACAAACGAGAGAGTTTTTTTCTATATACCACCTTCAGAAAGATTTGCTGACTCATAATTTCTCAGAAAAAACTAAGGCAAAAGAGGAGAGAGTATTTTGATGAGTTTTGGTTAGCCCTGACAATGGAATTGACATCAACCAACATGAAGTAAAATATAGCTTTTAATTTTCAAAGTGAGTCTGGATCTCCAGGAATATCTGAGCAGAATAACAAAGAGCAGACTACATAATCTCTTCTCTCCCCAAACAACATTTCACTTTAGAAAAAGAAAAGCTGCACTTCCTGATGGAGGAAATGCAGGAATTCTGTATAGCACGATGCCTGTATTTTCCTTGCTGAGTTTTTTGTTGCAACAGCAGAGATGTATTTGAGAAAATGGTGTTACATTTGCAGTATCTGGACCCACAGACTCCTCCAGTTGTCAGATGATGGCACTTTTACCTTGGTCATGAAATGATTTGGGGTGAAAAAAATTCCCAGAGTCCCCATTTCCAGTCCCTGAACAGGGCATGGCTGTGACCCTCACACAGCCACGACAGGAAGCCATCTCAGGGGACAACCATGTGTCTGATTAAGAGGGACTGTGTCTGATCTTCTAGTTCCAAGAGTCAATGGGCAACTTTGTCTGCATAGAGACCAGAACTGCAGTGGCAATTGCCATTACTGTTGGTGAGCACAGATCTTTCCTTGTCTCTGCAGGTTTGTTTTTATGTTCTCACATCAATGCTATGAGGGGAGAAAACACACACTGAGTTAGGTGCAAGTATCAGGCCTAACATTTGGTAATGGTATATTCTGTGTAGCTTTTACTGGAAATGGAAATGAGATTTCCTGCTTTACCACTCTTAAAAATTCTTTGCCTTATTCTGGGGTAAAATAGTATCAGACCTGGTCTAAATAGCTCCCAGTTTGTTCCCACTGAAACCAGTGATGCTCTATTCCACATCAGTCATAATAATGGCAGTATCTCCTTACAAAAAACTACCTTTTTAAGGCAGGCAGTCCTTGACCTTAGCTCCAATTTTCATTGGAAACTAATGTTTCCATTAGTTATTACCAGCTTTGAAAGTCTTCACCTTGAAAGTTACAGGACTTGCAGTGCCTTGCAAGACCAAATCCCGGCAATTTGGCTTACATGAAGTACCTGTGGCTGGGATTAGCTCCCGTGTTTCAGAAGGAGCAATTACAGAAAAAAGGGCATAGCTCTGGTAAGGAAGGCCTGATTGGGAGCTGGGCCGAAAGCACCCCACACTGCTGGATTTTCTGTGGAGCTTCTACCTAAATCAGTGGTAGAACAGTGGAAATGAGACTGACTCTGCAGGCTGCTTTGTATGAGTCACTGTATATTAAAAAGCCAGCTGGATTCAAAATCACAGGTCAACCAAAACCTCTTTATTTAGCTAAGCAAACAAAAGGACAGAACACTTTTAAACCTGAAAAGTGAGTCCGTACATATTTTTATCAATGTGATAATTCACAGGTACTAAGTAATACTCAGCGAAGCACTAGTATCTCTAATTTCCATTCTGCCTCTCTCATTTCAAAAAGGATCAATTTTTATAATGAGGTAAAAATAATTTCTAATAGTGCAACTGCTCCTCAGCATTTCAACTAGCTTTTGTGGCAGTCATTTAAAAAGAAAAAAAAGACAAGGGGGAAAACAAACAAGGTGGTTTTCTCCTTCTTGTTGCTTCATGATGGAGATGTGTGATTGGATGGCAAGGAGTGATGAGTGGATACGATTGAGCTCTGCAAGGAGGATGAGCACATCTGAATCTCACCTTAACCCTTGCTGAGTTCGCTTGTTGGAGGGACACTGTTGTGAGGTGTCTTTTCATCACCAGGTCCTCATCAAGTGAGCTCCTCCCTGGGACCTGCTGCAGCTGAGTCGACAGAGGAGCTCCTGGCCTCAGGAGTGCCTCACAAAACTCCCCCGGCTAGAAAACCACTATGCCTTTCCCTGCTCTCTCGATGTTTCTTTCTGCTTTCCCTTTCTCCCAGGAAAAACATTCCCCCAGGGGCAATTTCATTTATTGAGGGCAGGAACTCGGTGCCCTGGAAATAACCCAGCTGCTGCTGGGACAGCTGGAGAAATGTAAGCGCTGACTCAGTGCTGACAGTAGAGGTGGCAGCCGGTTCAGCAGAGGCAGGTCTGCTCGTGTCAGCTCTGTCGGCTGCAAAGAAGTGACAGAAGGCAGAAGGAGGTGAAGCAACGGTGAGGTCCCTGTGCAGGCTCCACATGTTGCAGCAAAGTCCAATAGTGATGGGTATTTTTCAGCAGATTCCCACCCTTTTTTTATGATTCTACTTTTTTGGCATCATAACAGAAGTGGTGGGAGAGAAAGGGCAAGAGAAAAGATAAATGTGCTAATATTTGCATAAGGGAACAGTGGTTCACACTGTGACTCACGTTGTGGGAACAGCTCCTCTGGCAGGTACCTTGGATGCATCAGCTGGCTGCAGTGTACCCTTCCAGCAATGGGTTGGTGCTGCACACAAGACAAAAGATCAAAAATATTTCTTCACTGTGGCATTGTCTGAGTTATCATCGATCCTAGACACCTCAAGCAGACAACTGCAAGTGCAGGCAGAGCTGCCCAACCGATCGTTCAGCCAGTGAAGGGATAAAACATAGTCCAGACTCACCTTTTGCCCTGCTTTTGAACACAATTAAACCTCTAGCTGCAAGGCCAGACTTGGTGGTTACCTACAAAACAATTTATCTTTTCCATTTGCTGCTGTCTCTGTGCCCCTGACACAAGGTG